CTCTCTGCGTAATAATGTGATATCATGTTTGCTAGATATTTTTTTGAACCCAATTTTATTTTCCTTTGCGAGACTTTTGTAAAATGTTGCAGAGAAAGGAACGAAAATCCTCTAAAGAAAAATGAGCAAATTGTTGGAATAAGTTGTTTACGAGTTGATATCTTTACGTTCTATACTAGAATAAATAATAATTCTATATTTTTATGAACCAACCTGTTCATTGTTAAGTGTATCTATCTGGAATGTCAATAATAATCATTATCGAAAGCTTTCATAATAACCAATTAAGCGTGCGAACGACATTTAGGTCGAGTATTCTCGATAGAATTTACAGGCTTGACATTCATTCCACTGTTACTTTGTAGTTCACAAGACATATCATTAGAACCTATGTACAGGTACAGGTACATACATATGTACAGGGCAGTTCCCGTTCACCCAAGATCTTGAAATTTCCATATTGGTTTTTTTACTTTAATATTTGTATCATACGGTACTTCGTCAATTACCACGGACAGGTGTGATCCCAATTCAAAATTATTTCAATTATTGTTGCTGTTGATACTTTTAGAAATGCATTAAATGAATTCGAAGGTGTTAGTCACATTTCTCGGTAAAAATTTCTTCTATGATCTCATACAATAGCACTAGTAATAGAAAATGACCATAAAATGAAATGTTTATTTATTTACATAGATTTGTTATTCATTTTTCATAGAAATTTAGTAAATAGAATTTCCATTAAGTCACTATTAATTTCGCCAATAAAATCAACGAAAAGGTCGAGCATATTGCGAAAGTTCATCAGCCCCGTAACTTCAAATTGTTTAACTCTGATGACAGTTACTGCATCCAGCAGGCGCGTAGCTATAGGGTCATGGGACAGACCGGTGCGAATTCTATAAATTTATAATCAAAAAGTTACACGTTCGTATTAAATGTATGCCTATCACGTATGAAATCTGCTTTAGACAAATTGAAATACATTAGAATTTCTTCAGTAGCAGCAAAATTTGATACATTGTCTATTACGATATTACATAAATTTGCCCTTTAGAAATTTCTTTGGTTCATAAGATCGAAATCGCGATCGGTATCTGTTAGTTCTAACGATTTGCTGACCAAAAACTTAAAGATTCGTAATAATATTGAAAAAAACATGAAAATGACCAAAACACTGACAGATTAGCAATAAAAAATTTTGTGCTGGAACTCATTTATTGGCGAAGTTGTAGTTAGTTTTCTAAAATTTTCGAGAAAATTTACAACTTAACAAAACAAAAATTAGGATACATAGCAGCTAAACATATTGGACGACATTATCCGATGGGAAAAGACAATGACATCGGCGTGGCGCGGCGGTGAAAGTGATACAATATTGTTAGGAATGTTTGTTTACCTGACTGACATTTCGTAATACGTAATCCGGTAAGACTTGTGTGATGTAACGAAAGTCTGAGACTGCTGGGAATGTTTGGCTTTTATTTCTTGGTTCAAGATATCTTTGAATCGGACGACTTCCTTATTTGCCCTCAGACTTATTATTACACACGACACCATAATAACATATGTATATGGAGTAGACAGTGGATACACATTATAATACATGCAATTAAACTGATGCAGATATACCTAATAAACAACATGCAAGTCGAAAAAAGCTGAGCATAATGTTGTTAACAATTAATAATAAAATTAATGACAGTAAACTGCAAGGGAAGATCGATACACGGATCTAGATTATTATCATACTTAATTAGCTAATGTTACTAATTTTTGTGATGTTATTGCATAATTCTTCCTCAAGATTGAGAGGGAAATTTCGTCGTAATTTTTTTTTCTGACATTTTTTTCATTTCTAAAGGTAAGAATACGAAACAATGAATAATAAATAATTTATTGTTGACACATTGTAAAGCGATATCTCTGCATTTATGCCCACTGCTTTATTATATACGGACATCACTTAGATAACAACAAATTAGGTCATTGAGGAAATTTTATTGCCTATCACCAGTGCGTACGTATTTGTATTTCAATTTGCTGCAATGAATATATCACATAATAATTTGCATGGGTAGATAAATAAATGCATAAAAATTTTAGAAAATAAATAGCAGTTTCCTTCAATTAATAAAAATAAAATACGTTTCTACAGTATTTACGTGATAATCCAAAGAAGAAACAGTAATTTTTTCTGTTACATCTTCCACACGCGCAGAGATTCGTGATAATTTCCAAATTTCCAACGACTATCGATACTTTTCACCTGTAAAAAAGTAAAGCATTGGCTTGAGTTTCAAATTTCTTTTTGTTATTTTATCTGTTATCTATCCATTTTGCTATTGCGTAGCGTCTCTTGGTCTCCTACTGCACCTCATTTCTATCGTTTTCTATCCACGATATCATCCACCTATAAGGCCTGTCGCAAAATAACATCACATGGTAACGAGTCTCACATGTTCAAAACCTTGCTCCAAATATATTGGTGGAAGTAGTTCCTTATTTGACAAATCTATTGCTTGTTTACCTTTTCGCGTGGATGCAGTCGCGTGTTTTCGTCAGTTTTTTACAGTGAAAGGGAAATTTTTCTCTAGCAACAACTGCTTTTGATAACGTATTATCAGACGTTTGAGATAAAGCGCGATAACAATTTTATGAACTGTCAAAGACGATTGGCGATCGTTGTCGCGCTGTCACGTACCGCAAATATGCGTCGATTCTGCATGAATTTTGCGTAAAAATATTAAGCAAAAGGGAAACAATAAGTTTGTTTGGGGTGTAAATGAGTGAACAATTGTTTGCAATTTATTATTAGTGTATATTACGTATTACGAATGTGTTTTTCTTCGCGTGTGTGTATCTCTTGTGGTGTCGCTATTTGTTTTGGTATCTACAATGGATCCCGGATTCATGGATGTGGACGCTGTGATAAACCTTATGCGCAAGACGTGGCTTTCTCATAATAAATGTAAAAAGCAAGTAGTTAAAAATAATGTTCGATTTTCATCGGGTTGTTCTGATGAGGAGAGACGATATAGGTAACAACGTTTATTTTGAAATAAATAATTTTTCCATATTATTATCTTATCTTAAATTTGATACAATACATAATACACTTTGCACATTCACCTTTTCTGTATTATTGCCTAATAAATTTGAGGTTCTTTTGCGTTAAACGAATAAGTAATAAATAATTTTAGTGTCCTCATCATAATCCAATTATTTTATTATCGTGTAAGCAGTTTGAAGTCGTAACGATTAGTTAGTACTGGCTTTGGTAGATATAATTTCTAGTTTTGCTTGTTCAAGCACATTAACGTGTAATTTGCAATTTAAGTAAGCATTTGCCTAATTATGTATTTACTAAACTTGAATAGTTACAATGTGACATTAACATTTCCAATACGAAATCGTTTTATTAGTTGGCTGAAGCTACATATGCTTTATCTCGATAAATATGTACAGGTAACAATAACAGAAAGGACCTAATAAAATTAAAATTGTTGGACGTGTTTCTTAATAGGTACCTAACATTGATTACGTTTGACCTTCAGCAATAATTAAAAACTGCTAGGCTACTTGTGTATTTCCATGTTACGTCTTATCATTTAAATTAATTTTCTTAGCGATTCAATGTATGGCAGTAAATTTTGAAACAGTAATTCATGTACATACTTGTAATACTTAATTGGCATTTTTTCAAACTAAAAACGAATGTACGTTTCATTACCTGCACCATTTTACCGACTTAACTCAATTTTGTGAGCTGTTTCTATTTTCTAGACGTCATGAACTTATAATACACGTAAATCAACAAATTGTGACCCAGCGAATAGTTTTTCGCAATTTGTTGCTGTTGGTGAATTAAACGAATGCTTAAAATTGTATATTATAACAATACTTAGGTAGGATAAAAATTTTTTTCATACTATTTCTAATTGATTTTCCAAAAGCTTTATAATTGCGATTGGTTGTTCTAAAACTTTTGCTCTTCAACTTTCGTCTTACTTACGTATTGAACAGAAATGAAATGGTAACATACAGTAGATCTACTTCACCTTGTTACGCGGCTACTTGTGGAGATCCGCAAGGATGTAATGTAGGTCCGTTATTATTTTTGATATTTATTAATAATACAGCAGGTATACTCCAGTGTTCTAGGTAACTTAACACTTCGCAAATATGCATAAAGTATATAGATATTATGTTATAATAATAATAAGCAGTTTTCATGCAAGCATTTCGTAATTAATTAAGCGGCGGTACATTGTCTTACTTATCGTCGTTCGTATTGTGGCTGTTTTTTATTAACAAGGCGAATGAGATCATCGTCGGAGTCGTCTCTTTCGTCGGTTATTATTGTTGAAGAAGTTCGGTTGTTCGGAGGCAATCTCTTGTCGTCCTTGACCGCAATGACTTCTTAAGTTATTGACTGCGTTTAACGAAACTTCTTATTCTTATAATAAGGGTTCATACATATTAATACATGCGTTCGTATGTGTGTCTTTGTGGATACAGTACAGGAAGTTAATGTAATCGATCATTAATGCTAATATCTGTCTGCACCTACATTTGTTTAGTGAACATGCTTTTTAAAATATTTTAATTGATTACAACAGGTCACGTACTAATTCTCAAAAGCTGAGGTACTTTTATTGAAGATTCGAATCACGTAATAGGTTTTTATCCTTGTGCTCTACAAATTACGACGAAAAGGACAATTGTGAATTTATTAATTTCAAACATACCTTGATAATTTTTGTTAAAGCAATCATAAAACCAATAAATTCATCAATTGGGTAATTAGGTACTACAACTTTTTGTGTGCTTATTTTGATTTAACTGTATGGTTTATCCCTTTTATACTTTTAAATCGCGAACGTTATGTCTTTGGGTCACGTTTGTACTGTGACCTATGAAAGTGTCAACTATTTTCTTGTTAAGAATCCGGTACGTGCCGGTGTGATGATTCATGCATTTTCCTTTTTACTTTTCAGTACGGTCAGCCTTCCTACCTACACCGGAAACAAGAAAAAGTCATCAACGAATATAAATCGGTCGGAAAGTGTCAAAGAACAATCGGAAAAGGTAAGCCGCCCACTTGTCTATCGGTCGTTTGTTTTATTTTTATTTTTATTACAAGTACATATTAATTATCTATTAATGTCTGTCTAATTTGTTGCCATTCTGAAGTTGTTGTTTGTGCAAACTTTCGTACAACAACAACACTACAAAAACAACGATACAAGATAAATAACAAGAGAATGACAGTTTTTGTGTCTTTGTTTTGTTAGTAAACGAAAGTGAAAGAGAACTTTTTCTTGCAGAGAAAGCAGAGGAGAAATATTAGCGATCCACTTCATAATACCTCAAAGTAAGTTTCATATTTATTTCTATGTGCTTATTTCATAATTTTTTCGACATGTAATAATGATGACAACGCGCTGTTTTGCTAAATGGATTGTAAATGTAGCATTTCTTTTAGACGTTACTACTGAATGTGGACGGTTGACAAAATGTGTTTTATTACAATAACAAATGTGAAAAAGCACATCTGGTCGCTGGTTCTTTAATGGGAAGTAATGTAGTACATAATTTTATTGGTGTCCCATTTCCCGTAACTAAATGAGGACAGTAGGTTCTGAAAAGAATCGGCGTGTGAAATTAAATCTAAAATTTTTTCGATAATCCTACCAAAAGTAGGATATTTTTCCCTCATTTCAGGTACGAAAACGCAACATTCCCTCCCGGGTAAGAAATCGCATTTACTCCTTATTAGAAAAGATTTTCACATTCCTCTGCGTAATTTCCATGGAAAATTTGCACCGAGTTAGTAGCTAGAGGATTTGTCGAGTTATTTAATCAAAGTTTAAGGGAAGCTAAAACATATTTTGTTTTGCTTCATTTGAAAAGAACTCTTCAAAAAGCAAGAATTTCAAAAATAAATAAATTACGTTTGATTATAATGTGACATAGGGTTAGTATTACTGTGAAATTTTGTCGGTCTGTTAAGCATCATTGTAAACATTCGATATGCAGCAGAACTTTTATGCATTTCTCAGCGTTTTTTGCTTTTATCAAGATTCACAGTAAATTTACAATGCTAAAACGCCACAAGAATCCATGTCAACCTCAGAAAACTCTGAAATGAGATGGCCAGTTTTTAAATCATTTAGTAAAGCATTTTTAGATTTTTCTAACAGGTATAATTATTCAAAATTTCATTATTTTTTTCTGGAATTAAAAAAAAATATGCAACGATAACAATAATAATACTCATCTGAGGGTCACAGTTTTATATTAGTCTTAGTATTGCGAAAATCCTAATTTTATTTCGCCGGACATTCTAGGTACACGATAAAATCGGTTTGGCTAATTAATGTCCGACTTGTGTTTATTGAGATTGTTCGTTCACTCGTGAATATCCAAAAATATCGAACGTTGTGTGTGTCTTCTTGAATCCTTTCCGTGTGTACTCTTTTTAGAGGCGGGTTAATAACGAGTCCTCTCGGGTATTTCGGTGACAGAAAAGGAGTCGCGTTCTCAGTAACCGGTGCATGCCATGAAGATTTTTCGTTGTCGACCTGTTTTACACTAGTGCTACCCGCATGGCCATTGATCTCTTTACATTTACACACTCACAAAACTTTGGCAAATGATTATTATAAAAAGCGATTAATGGAACACTTAGCAACAAGTTGCTTTTTTCCGTTTAATTTGTCAGTTCGTTTAGATCTCGTGACGGTCGGTGGCTAGTTATTGTTCACATGGTCGGGATGTAATTTAGACTATCCAGGACTAAACCAGTTAGTTGGCTAGTCGGCCGAATTCCCCACTTTGTTGTGTGTGAAATTATGACGGGTTTTTGAACAAACTTGACCTGGACCTTGATCGTGTCAAATAAAGTGATAATGACTTCGTGCGAAAGTGAAAATGTATCCTTCCACAGGAATCCTTTGAAGATTCAGCATAGTTATTCTACGGAAAAGTATGTTTTTAGTTATTCATGTTATAAAACTAATCTCAAATAAAGTCAAAAAGACACTTAGAACTTTCGGTACTTAAAGAATGAAAATTGTTGTCTTGTTCATTTTTATCCACCCTGTAACCGTAGATAGGTGTTTCAAGTATATAAAATGTATTACGTATGAATAGTGATGATTACATTTAAAAATCAATGCGGTAAGTGCGTCTAGGCTGATTCAGGATTTTTTTGTACACGCCTTCTTTGAAATCGTGTGCTTTTCATTCATTAAAATATCCAACGTAAACAGAATTATTAAAAACACGCACATAGTGTACTCCGCACGCGTAACTATAAAAATAAATGGGGTCGGCGATTATGAAAATATTGTTGGACTATTTTTACGTACATTTATGTGTTCTTGTAGCAAAGTAGCCTGTTGTAGGCTGTTGATTGATGAGATTTTCACGCGAAAAACTCGAAAAAAAAAAGTGTTTATATAGTAGAATCCTGCAGGAACTTTTTTTTTTATAAAATTATTGTGAATAATATGTATTGGTAGAAATTTTATTCATGCAACAAATACCCTTAACCTATTCGTTTAAGGTCAGAACACAGCGGTGAACTTGAATTAAATAGAATTTGGTTATATGGGTACATATGAGGGCTAATATGCATAAACAAACATCACCTAAAGAAAATGTGTAATCAAAATTCTATTTGCATCCTTTTTTATTGTAGTAGGGCATATAATGCTGCCCTTCTTAATCCTCAATTTTTGTTTTGAATTTACAAAGCCTTAATAAATTGAACATCATTAGTTTTTTTTCGTGTTATCGATTGAGGGTTACGTCATCCACCAGCATGGATGGATCGACTGTAGAAATGGGTCGACACTTGGCTCTTCCATATCGATTTTTAATTATTAACCTTTCATGTTAAGTTGCAAGTTTTATTGGGTATAAAAGACGTCCCGCATTTTACCGATAAAAGGATGGAGGTAGGTGGGCACGTTAGCAAAAATTTTCACAATCAGTTTACCCACGACACTCTGAAGGAAGAACTTCACCGGTTCCAATGTCGCGTAAAACAGAAAACGAGTTTGGTGTTATTTGTAAAAAGTTTAGTTATTATTGGTGTAGTGTTTGTTGTCTGAGTTGGGTGGTTTTGACTTGAACTTTTCGAAAAAATTGGTCATGACAACCTTCAACGTTATGCAATGCTCCAAAGTGCAATGTGATGTGGATATACCAAAGTAAACGTTAAAATTATTGAAGGTTTTTTTTTATTTCTTTTACCGAAATTGCATATATTGCTTTTCGATATTCAACTGAGTTGCAAACGCATTTAAGAAAGAATTTCATCAAATATTCGCAACCAGTTTTTCAAGTTCTTCACAACAATCTTGTTTAGGACAAGCGTGAGTCATATGGAAGATGCATTTGAATTTTCTTGCATTTTGCGAAGAGTAAGAGTTTTCCTAATTTGACACGTATTTATACCTAGATGCATTATGCGTAATCGTCAGTTTAAAAAGGAATTATCCTCATAAGGGTTTTAATGGAATTGTTATTTAAAACATTGGTTTGATCCTTAATACGGAAAAATCAGGTTTAGGTGCTTATTATAATAGTACAGATCAACGAAATCAACTATTATAAAGGAAAAATTAGAAGGACTAAATGTGATCTTGCTGCAGCACATCAAGATTTTGAAACATTTTAATGCCACAATCCCGAGTTGCCGCATTTGGATTTCAAATTAAAATTTTATTTAGGGCAATTTTGGAACCAGATTCAATTTCTCCATTAAATAATACATCGGCAATGTATGCTCTTTTTGGAATTGGGTTTTTTTTCGGGCAACCACTATAGATAGCTCAAAATGAATTAGAAAAGAAAGTACGATAATCATTTCTGACTTATTCTTTGATGGCGCATTCAAAATTCAAACACAAGGAAAGCTACAAGCCGTTGAAATTTCGAGATATTTTAATTTTTACGTTAAGTTATATCAGAATCTTGATGTGCTGGAGTAGTTAATCGTTTTTCGAAGAAGGTGTAAAAAAGGCGTGCAATAATTAGAGGAAGAAAATACGTTAGAGCCAACGGCTATTGTGTCGGTTGGAAACTGTTAATAGCGACTGACTAATAAAGCGGATAGTATAATAGGTGTGTTAACCTGCGACGTGATTGGTTATTAAATCGTGAAGGGAAATTCGATTATGTAATCGAGACAGATTTATTATTGGATACTTATTGCTATGTAGTAGAGAAGTAGAGAGCCTGGCATGAGACAATAACTAACCGACATTTGATGCAAATTAAAGGCAGGTCCGGCCTGAGATTGTATTCCTATTCGTTCTTTAAGTAACTGCGAGTTTTATTTTAATGAAAACTGACTGGTAATGATAAAAGTTTGACTACATACAGTAGATATCGGTTATAACGACGTTGAAGCGGTGAAATTTCTTTCCAACTGCTTAAAGGGCGTCCTTTTATAGACTATTTTGCCAATTTCTTAAAATTAAAGAAAGATGACTATCTTTAACTCATAGGTAAATAATGAATGTGACCTGAAGGTCGTGCTTGGAGAGTCCGTCTCTATAAGAGATAGTTTGATTTGTTGTTACATCAAATTATAAGTCATACTTGCTGCAGTTTTAAATGCCGCAAAAGTCCAATAATTATCATGAGAAAAAATATTTTGAAAACGTTTGAGTTAGATGCCCAAATGCGCCTGAATCATTAGCCACAAAGTAAGTTATCGCGTTATCGCAGAATAAATGCCGACTGAATCATACACAATGAAATATCTTTGCCAAATTGGATTAAAGATAGTTTACATGAAACGAATCTATCTAACGTTAAGTAGAGGTAAAGTTTATTCTGTTCGCGTGATATACAAGCAATTGTATTTTAGATCGCGATAAATCAAAGTTAAATCGGGTGAAATGTTTATCAGCCCTTCCTTCATCCTAACTAGACTTGCATTCCTGTTTCAAAAATGACACATGTATATGCGGCAAAGCAAAACAGCGACGTTATTTATCTTTTTTCTTTTGCAACCGCTTTTGTTTTATAAACGCGGCCAACGTG